TGTTTTCTTTGTTATGTACAGGTCTTCCTTCATCTTCAAGATCTAGATTTCTGGTGGCCACATGGTATGAGTCACTAAGGAGTATTTTCTGATGCTCTTCAGCACAGCTTTTACAAAACCCTTCCTCATAATTCAAGGGGCAGGATTCTTCCAGTCTTGTTTTCTCCACAGCAGACTTCAATGGTGCAAAACCAGCAGGAAGAGACGTACAATCAAAGTCACATTTCATTTTGAAAGAGTGGTTAAGGTTAGATTTCATTATTCTGTTTGTATCCTGCAAGAAACAACAAAGACGGTATTACAACACAGCATAAACTGCATCACAGATACTTTTTCTTATAAAGAACCAACCATGCCTTCCTTCTGCATTATGATTTTTAAGCTTTTATCTAACTCACCTTCCAGTATCTAAACCACGGACAACCAGTGGAATTAAGGTTCTGATCAGCCACATGTTAAATCTATGCGAGATCTTCTCAAAATTAAAGCTTTATGCTGCATATACCTGGGCCGAGAAAACCAACTGGATGATTTACTTTGTCACCGTTCCACCAGTACATATCACTTTTAGACACACCAATGCCTCCACTTCCCACCCTAAATGCAGCGATATACTCAGGACACTTATGGTCCCCTGCTAGGGACACCAGTGGCAGAGGGTCCAGGAGTGACAGCGGGCCAGTGGCAGGGGTATAGCCGGGCCGGAGGAGCCTGAAGGTTTGGATCCAAGGCCAGAGGCACAGCTGCTGATGCAGCCAGGTATCTGGCATTTTTAAAAGGGGAGGAGGTTGGGTGGCACAGGGAAAACGTGGGTGCTCACAGGCATGTGGAAGTTACAATGCCTGTGCAAGTTACAATGGAAAGCGGCGACCCTCAAACAATGGTCCAAATGAAATACAGCTTACTCACAAGCACGATTTTTAAGAGGGTGCGAGGTCGATAGATATTATAGGGAAATTGAGCTTTTCTTGCCCTTTTTCCTTCCCCTCCCCCCAAAGTGTGGTGCTATCTATATTAACAATTGCGGGGGGATGGGCGAGGGCAGAAGGGAAGAAGGAAGCCATCTCTGAAGTATTAAATCTAAAGGGAAAATAATTCTCAACATGCTTTGCAATCCATATGAAAAGTAAGTTTCTCCATTTGAACAGGTTTTTTAAGGGATTTAAGCACTTCCAGCCGTTTGGGAAAAAAAAAAAAAAAGTACTGGAAAAATGTGTTTTATGAGCGATCCGGAGAAAAAGTCCCTTTCTCGTGCCCACATTTGATGGAAGAAAGGAGCAAATAGGCGTATGGCTTTGTACAGTGTGCGTGAATGAGGGGAGAGATGCAAGCCCTCGCTAAGCCCCCTTCTCCCCTTCCCCCCTCGCTTGCGCGCCAGCAGAGGAGCGTTTGGCCTGAAATCCTGCAGAACTGGGAAAAGCGTGACCCCCAACCTCGCCACGTTTTGGGGGCGCCCGGGC